AAAAAACACAGCTTGTTTTTCTCTCCTATCCTTATTACCATTATTATCAAGAAAGAAGCCTCTTTGATGGGAGAAGGTCCCAGAGACTCTGCAGAAGGACTAGGGGATGTCCCTTTCAGCCAGCGGTTGAGATTTTCCCATAATCTTCAAATCACTAAAGTAATGAAGTTTTAAGGAGGGTTAAAACTGCAGAAGGCTTAGAATTTAGAAAAGAATGGCGTGCTCTATCAATGGGAGGTCATCAGCATGTTTACAAAGGAACCCCAGGAGCCCTGGCTGGAAGGTGGAGCCAGGGGGCGCTAATTCTAATTTTGTCAACCAACAGATGCCCAGGACAGAGTCTGCACCTGGGGGACACACTGAGGCCTCAGCATTCCACATAGACAAAGACCCTAATGTTTACCAGGTTTGAGGAAGCAAAAGAGGAGTAGACACGTAGTTTTCAAGAACAAAGTCAGTCACAGAAGGGACTGATTTGACTATAGTCTTACCACCATGGAAGGGGAAGGATTAGAAACACTTGGAAAATAAATTTTAAAAAACCCAAACTAGTTGCCTTGGAGCTGATTATGACTCCATGTGTGTCAGAGTAGAACTGTGCTCCATAGGGTTTTCAATGGCTGATTTTTCAGAAGTAGATTGCGAAGCCTTTCTTCTGAGGGGCCTCTGGGTGTATTCAAACTACCAACCTTTTGGTTAGTAGCCTGAGTGTTTAACCATTTACGCCACCCAGGAAACCTATAAATACTTGGAAGTCCCTTCCAAAGCCAGTAACCTGTGACTGGAAGCAATACCGAGTAGAGAACTCAAGATGGCTTTTTCTAGGAAAAGCTTTTTTTTTTAAAAAATCTATAGAAATCAAAGGAAAAAAAAAAAAAAAAACAAGAGTCTTTTTGATGCAAAACCCTCCTCTGAGAATGATATTTCTCAGAAACCTAGGAGCTGACAGGAAGCTTCCAAAAATAAACAAAAACATTCTCAAGGGAAATTTACCCTAGACGAGAAAGACAGCTAAAGAAATTAAATTCTGTTCACCCAGGGTAGTAAAAATAAACTCAGAGACAGCCCTAAAGACATGTTTTCCAGCCAGGCGTATCAGACAATCCCATGGTAGGCTGCTGGAGAGAGAGGATGAGCAAAACCATGGATCAGAACTACCTCAGCCACCGCTGTCACAGAGGTAAATTCTGACAAGGTGACTGGAAACAGACAGGCAGAGGGGACCAGACATTGCTGAGAAACAAGCCCATCTCCAGAGCAATCAAAGTGAAAACCAGAGGAAAGAGAGCGCCTCTCTCGAGCTGCCCATCTTGGCTCTACAGTGCCCTGTGACTGGCCTCTGGCTCAGGGCAGCAGGGGAACAGTGTTGTTGGAAGGGAGCCCCTCACCATTCTTTCCAGGGGATTAGGAATCTGCGCGGCCTTGTCCAGAAGCTCGCTGTACTCCAGCTCCTCACAGAGCCTCTGCAGCGTGTTCAGGGGCTCGTTTAGCTCCACCGGCATCGCCACTTTTGACAGATCCTTCCCGATGTTGTTTCTCAGGATGTTCCACAAGCTGATGTTACTGGTGTTGGGGCATGGTGCCGGCAAGCAGGTTCTTCTTTTGGACTTCACTTCTCTGCCACTTTCAAGAACAGGCCCTGAGAAAGAAATAAGTCTGGGTTGTCTCTATAAAGCTTTTTATTTTATTATTAAAAACAATAATCCATGAATCAAACCTCAACCTATCAGTACTCAATTTTACCATTAAGTTCAGCATCAGAATAAGACTGAAAGACAGAAAACAAGCAAAGGAAGTCTGAGCAGCTAGGTTATGTACCAAAAATTATATGCAGTAAAACTCACAGAATTTATTCACAGGGAGGTACTCCGGTTCCCACTCAAAAGCTAGTTCTCGTAGTTTATCTTATAATAAAACTAGAAATTAGATTTCTAAATTTGATTACTTTAAAAAAAATTTTTTTGACTCTTTTAAAAAAACTTTAAATTCTGATAAAAACAATCAAGTTCATTACAAGAAAATGATAAAGGAAATAAAAGTCACCCACTATTCCACCACCAAGAAATAGCAGCCATTTATTTCTCAGAGTATTTTCATTTAGTGTTTTCTCTATCTGTAGAGCTCATACTGTATATATAGCTTTATATTCTGCCTGTTCAGCTAACATAAGCATTTTCCCACGTTATTTAAAACCCTTCCAAAACATCATGTTGAATGACAATAAAAATATTCCATTGTATGAATATGCCATAACTTACTGAACCATTATCTACTGTTGAACTTTTAGATTTATTTCAATATTTTGCTATGATGGGAATAAAACAGTAGTGAATATTCACACTGAGATGTTTGACTGTATCTCTGACGATTTTATTAGAATGTATAGACATGGGGTTACTATGTCAAAGACTCTGAATGTTTTTAGACTTTTGAGTCATATGATCAGACTGCTCTTCAAAAAGACTGCCTCAGTTTACACATTTACCCGCAGAATATGCAAGTTTCCATCTCCTGATCTTTCCAAGCTTATCACCATTTGTTTTGAATATTTGTTACACTGTTAGGTGGACAGTGTTATCTCCTTGTTTTAACTTATATTTTAAAAAATTTCTAGTGTGGTTCGAGATGTGTTCATGATCATTTCTTTTTTTTCTGAATTGTCTGTTTTCCTGTTTATATATGTTTTGTTGTTGTTAAGTGATGTCTAGTTGATTCCGACTCACAGCCACCCTATGCACCACAGAACGAAACACTGCCCGGTCCTGGGCCATCCTCACAATCACTGTTATGCCTGAGCCCATTGTTGCAGCCCCTGTGTCAATCCATCCCACTGAAGAACTTGCTCTTTTTCGCTGACCCTCTACCTTGCCAAGCATGATGTCCTTCTTCAGGGACTGGTCCCTCCTGATAACATGTCCAAAGTATGTGAGATGAAGTCTCACCATCCTCATTTCTAAGGAGCATTCTGGCTGTACTTCTTCCAAGACAGATTTGTTCGTTCTTCTGGCAGTCCATGTTATATTCAATATTCTTTGCCAACACCATAATTCAAATGTGTCAATTCTTCAGTCTTCCTTATTCATCATCCACCTTTTGCATACAGATGAGGCGACTGAAAATACCATGGCTTGGGTCAGGCACACCTTAGCCCTCAAAGTGACATCTTTGCTTTCTAACACTTTAAAGAGCTCTTTTGCAGCAGATTTGCCCAATGCAATATGTCGTCTGATTTCTTGACTGCTGCTTCCATGGGCATTGATCTGGCCACCTACTTCCAAAAAAATTGACCACTGAAACCTTATGGATTTAATCTTTTTTTTTTCTAAAAAAAAAATACTGTGGTAAAATATATATAACAAAAGTTTATCATTTTAACCATTTTTAAGGGTAGAATTCATTGACATTAATTACTTTCAAAAGTTTTTCATCACCCCAAACAGAAACTCAATAACCTGTCAGCAATAATCCACTCTACCTTTTCCCGAGCCCCTGGCAAGCAATAATCAACTTTTGTCTCTATGCATTTGCCTGTTCTAGATATTTCATGTAAGTGGGGTCATACAATATATGTCCTGTTGTGCCTGACTCATTTCACTCAGCAAAATGTTTTCAAGGTTCATCCATGTCACAGCATGTATCAGAATGTCATTTGTCTTTCTGGCTGAATAATATTCATTGCTAAGTCCAAGGTCATGACGATTCGCCTCTATGTTTTTTTCTAAGAGTTTTATGGCTTTAGCACTTATATTTAGGTCACTGATCCATTTTAGTTAATTTCTGCATATCATGTGATGTAGGGGTCCAACTTCCTTATTTTACATGTGGGGATCCCGTTGTCCCAGTGCAATTCGAAGAGACTATTCTTTCCTTATTGAATGGTCTTGGTATCCTTGTTGAAAATCAATTGTCTATATATGTATGGGTTTATTTCTGGACTCTCAATTCTATTCCACTGTTCCATATGTCTATCCTTATGAGAGTACTACACTGTTTTGATTATTGTAGCTTTGTAGTAAGTTTTGAAATAGGCAAGTGTTAGATCCCCAATTTTGTTCTTTTTCAGAATTGGTTGGGATATTCTTGGATCTTTACAATTCCATATGTATTTAAGGTCTGGTTCTCTCATTTTTGCAAACAGGCCCTTGGAATTTTGAAAGAAATTACATTGAATATGTAGATTACTTTGGGTAGTATAGCCACTTCAGCAATATTAAGTCGTCCAATTTCTTTCAGCAATGTGCCCAGTGATTTTTTTTTTTAAAGAGATTAATAGGAAGCACTCTAAATACCTAGCATTTACTATGGGTTCAGAGAAATTCTAGTGTAATAATTCATAAAGATCTTAATCCAATACTATTTCCTTTTGCAGGCAATATGGTATAATAATCAAGACACAAAAGTTATTTCTATAGCCAATCTTTTCAGTAGAGTGCTGATGTTTAGAAATCTGATTCTCCTCAGAAAATGCCCACAAAGAACCAGATGCCCATTTCTAGTACTCAAATACTGATGAAGAAGAAAGCTGGGTTTTTTCCCAGTGTTTGTTCCAGCTAAGCAACGCTGGCCAGCATTTTAGCAAAATGGCTGCAGGGTAATACTGTTGTTAGTTGCCATCAAGTGGGCTCCAACACATGGTAACCCCATGTACAACAGAATGAGACACTGCTTGGTCCTGCGCCATCTTCACAATCATTGGTATGCATGATTCCACTGTGGCCACTGTGTATTCTGAGTGCTTCCAATCTATGGGGCTCATCTTCCAGCACTATATCAGACAATATCTTGTGATCCACGGGACTTTCATTAGCTAATTTTTGGAAGTAAATCACCAGGCCTTTTTTCTTAGTCCCTCTTAGTCTGGAAGGTCCTCTGAAGCCTGTCCACTATGAGTGACTCTGCTATTTGAAACACTGGTGGCATAGCTTCCAGCATCACAGCAACACTCAGGCCACCACATTATGACAAACTGACAGATGGGTGGCGGATGGGATAAGATAGAACAGCCTTAACTTCTGAAATGCCTCTTCTGGCCAGTTTTAACTAAGCACAGCCATTATCTTAGGTTCCAGGGAAAGTCCTCTCTTCCCAACTTCGACCTCTAACTCTCCATTCACTCTCGTGTTCCCTTTGACCACCTCCCAAAGGCCTTAAAGAGAAGGAGGACTTCTGTCAGTTTGTCAGTCTGCCCCATCCACAGTGGGAGTGTCATTTTAGCATGTGTGCTGTCTGCCAAGGGAGTAAGTGATGCTTCTTCATTTCTCCATTTGCCTCCCGGCTTTTCTAGAAAAACAAGTAGCACATAAACCTGCTACTGTATCATTAACTTTTTCCTTTCAATCTATTGGTTCTTAGACTTTTCCAAGGAGAGATTCATCTCTCCAGAAACCGTTCAAGTAAAATACAGAGCATGGTAGAACAGAATTTCAAATTCTCATGGACTCTATAATTTCTGGAGTCATGGAGAGTGGATGAAGGTGTGAAAACTATTGCCCTGAGATAATCTTTCAACCTTGAACTAAAAATATCCCCTGAAATCTTCTTAAAACCAAACAATAGTTTAGCTTAACTAGTAAAAAAGGTCTGCCTTGATCATTATGCTCTTTTAAGAACTATCTACATGGAATCAAACTGACAAGAGCAACTCGAAATATTGCACAGGAACCTTACGGGCAGTAAGTTTATGTTAATGAGGGAGGAACAACTCAGAAAAGGAGGGTGAGAATAGTTGCACAGCTTGAAGAATGTAATCAATGTCAGTGAACTGTACATGTAGAAACTGCTGAATTGGTATATGTTTTGCTGTGTATATTCTCAACAACAACAACAACAAAATAAATAATATTTAAAGAAAAAAAAATACAGAGCATGGTGAGGCATCTCACTTCTATCAGATGTGGTACTGAAAGGATGTTCTCCCTTAGTAAAGACAGTAAAATGACCGGCCTTTTATTTTATATTGTGGTCTCCAAAAAGAAGGCTCTTTGGCATTCAGAAACAATTTATCATTATATTTCACACATAGTTACTGAGCTGAGAAGTACTGAAATACCGAAAATTTATCCAACATGGTCTCTGTCATCCATGTAGATAAAAAAAAATCAGTGGTGTTCTGGGTGTCCAGTGAATGGTACAGACAAACCTAGAGACTCCAAGATACGCTGAGAACCAAGTCTAGGAAAATTTGATGCTATAGGACCCAGGACAGAGAATAGTTCAATTGGGCAGATTCTTCCTAAGGGCTCCCTAAACAGGTTTACATCAGAGTTGTCTGGAGAAAACCATATAGTCTGGACACCTATAGTTCAAACTGTTGTTAGTTAGCTGCCATTGAGTTGATTCTGACTCCTTGTGACCCCATGTGTGCCGAGTAGAACTGCTCCATAGCATTTTCAAGGCTGTGACCTTTTGGAGCAGATAGCCAGGCCTGTCTTCTAAGGTGCCTATGAGTGGGTTCGAACTGCCAACCTTTCCGCTAGTAGTCGAGCACTTAACCATTTGTGCCACCCAGGGACTCTTATAGTTCAAACTAGCAATATGAAACACCTTTCCTGGTCACCATTTTCCCTCTTGGGACATACTTTAGCCTTGCTGCTTTCAAATGTGCTATCTTGAACAATCTGAAGCTTAAGTGCCACTAAGAGCAGAACTTTCTAAAGCCCTATAGAATTCCTAAATTAGAAAAACCCCTAGATACCTAAAGACAAAAAGTTATATTATTTGCCAAGAGAATATCTGACTGTATAAGCGACATCTACTGCATTAAATTTTGATATTTACCTAAGTGGAATACTCTCATTTCATGAAATAAAAATTTGTACAAGCAGAAAATTTATGAATGAACACATCTTTCACATGTTAGTGCTGTCTCCCCACCTAGATTATAAAATCCTCAAGAGTGGTGTCTTAGTCATCTAGTGCTGCTATAACAGAAATACCACAAGTGGATGGCTTTAACAAAGAGAAGTTTATTCTCTCACAGTCTAGTAGGCTAGAAGTCCAAATTCAGGATGTCAGCTCCAGAGGAGGGCTTTCTCTCTCTGTTGGCTCTGGAGGGAGGTCCTTGTTATCAACCTTCCCCTGGACTAGGAGCTTCTCAGGGCAGGGACCCCAGGTCCAAAGTAGTGCTCTGCTCCTGGCACTACTTTCTTGGTAGTATGAGGTCCCCATATCTCTCTGCTCACTTCTCTCTTTTATATCTCAAAAGAGATTGATTTAAGACACAACCTAATCTTATAGATTGAGTCCTGCCTCATTAACATAACTGCCAATAATCCCACCTCATTAATATCAGACAGGCAGCATTTACAACACATTTAAATTTAAAACAACTTTATCAGATGACAAAATGGTGAACAATCACACAATACTGGGAATCATGGACTAGCCAAGTTGACAGATATTTTTTGGGGGCACAATTCAATCCATGACAGGTGGGCACTTGGTCTTAATTTTCTTATGTAGTACTTGTTACTGATCCTGCTACCATCAGGCACTCAGCATATGCTTATTAGTATCTTAAAAAAAAAAAAAACCAAACCCATTGCCGTCGATTCCAACTCATAGTGACCCTGTAGTATTAGTATCTAAGAAGATCTAAACTTTCAGAGATCAAATAATTTAAATCTTACCCAAGGTCTGTCTCTCATTGTCTAAATCATTACTGAGGTTGTCTAAGGAAAGGTTATCACTTATGTCACTGACATATGAGTCGTCATCAGAAATCTAGGGGAAAGAAGAAATAATTTATATCAGAATAAGAGTAATCAAGAGTCAAATGTTCATAAAACAGTTTCTCCAACTGATCAAATACTATTTGAATCCCACATTACAAATCTATAGAAATCATCTTGGATGCTGTTTTCACAGAGGCCCATGCATTAATCTACCTTGGTGGTATTCACAGCAAAAACCTGTTACTAGAAATTGTATACATTCTTGATTACTTCTCACAAGAAAAACACCAAGTAAACTCAAGATTTTAGTTATTATAAAAATTTTTATTAATTCAGACTGCATTTTCAGAATTTTGTTAAAATTTGGCTAGACTGAGTTGCAATTTGTCTTTGTACTATTTTTCAGAAAGAATGTGTATGGAAATTATTACATAAACAAGATTATTGTTTGGGTGTTGTGGAGTAGTTTTCCACTTGTAGTGACCCCATGTGACAGAGTGGAACTGCCCCATAGGGTTTTCTTGGCTGTAATCGTTACGGAAGCAGATTGCTGGGGCTTTCTTCTGAGGAATGGCTGAGTGGGTACAAACTGCCAATCTTTTGGTTGGCAGCCAAGAGCGTAACCGAATATTTAAGGGGTAACGGTAAGAGTATATACTTACGTACAGAATGCTATGATACTTGCCTATGCAGGAAAGTATGATTTTTATGCATCAATTTAAAACAACATTATTATACATGTAACTCTATGTAGTTAACCTAATACAAGTCAAATTCTATGACTTATAAAAATTTTTTTAAAAAAAGTTTTCAGAGGATGCTAATTTCTTTCCCTGTAGTGGAAATGTTATATTATCAAATAGGTAAAAGTCAAAATTATGAACTTGTAATTGAAAAGAGGTACAAAAAAATCAAATAACAGAGAAGAGGAAGTACTCAAACACTCTATTCTTGCGTAATTTTTTTCTTCTAAGATTTGTAACATCTTTTGCTTTTGGAGCATAAGGTATGAGAAAGATCCTCACAATGCAAATGGTGGAGAAGGGCTATTGAGTTTAGTGTTTCTAACTATGGGTATTTCTTGAACCGGTTAGTCAACAAAGCAACAAAAGAGATTCAGAAGCACCTAACTGAAAACAGCTTCCAAACCTCATTTTCTGAAGAGCTTGGTGATAACAGAACTTCCTGTGCATCAAAAAACTCTGAAAGGGAGTCAGTGACGGAGAGTCTACTTTCGTTGGAAAGCTGATGAACCAGAGCTCGGTTTTCATCTCTGGAGTTTTCCTATTTGAAAAAACAACATCAAAAACACATATACTTAGAAACAGTCTCAAGAGAAGCAAAACATACCCATGATTTAGTGGCACAATATACAAGGTCACAGGCCCATGCAAACAAGCATCCAAGCAGGGGTCAGCTCTGAAGTTGAGAAGTAAGCTCCACATAAAACACAATGAAAAAGTGAAATCTTCCCTGAAACAGGCACCTCACTTCCAGGCACGGTCACTGCTCAGTCACACATAAGACATCTCAAAGCAAAAAATGACTGCCCCGTCAGTCTTTGTTCCCTTCAAGGAGGAAAAAAATTCAAATGCTCTCTGAATCATATCTTTTTATTCCCTACCACTGCAGGATGTCTCTTTTCATCCTAAACTTTCCTCTGAATTGTATGGAATGCATATCCTTGCCTGGCTGGTTCAGAGAACACAGCTTCTTTCTGCTCCTATGCTCTCATAGAGGCCAATAGGCTGCTTTTGAGCTGTCCCCTGACGTATCAACAGTGCGTTTTTGGTCCAGAAGTGCCCCTGGTGGTAGGTCATTCATTATTCAGGGATGGATGAGATAAATTCTCTTTGTCTCTCTCCACCACAATGATTCTGCAAGGGAAAGAAGTCCCTAACCTCTTTTATAAGCCCCTATACAAACAAGACAACAAAATACCAGTATTTTCTAATCATGCATACCCCTCATTCCCTACCCCACTGACAAGGTCACTGTACTTCAATGGGTCTATACTTGCCCTCTGGGAAGGACCTAAATATTTTGGGAGTGTGCTTCCTATTCTATTTGCAAATGAAAATTCAATTCAACTCAACTCAATGAATTGAGCAACTGCTTTATGTGTGGTCCTGTGCTGGCCATGGAGAGTTATAATCATGAATAAGACAAGGTTTCTGACCTGAATGACTGGGTGCAGAGAACACACCCCAGCATATGTCACACTATGGTTGTGGAACAGAGAAAGTGCTATAGAAGAGGAGAGGAAGCTGAGATGGATTCTGATCAGGTAGCTCTGCTTTGGAGAGAGCTTTACAGAGGAGGTGGCATCTGACCTAGACCTTGAGGAGCAAGAACAGATTCAGAACATGATCCAATTCCTTTGAATTAGAGGAGAAGACAGTTCTCCCGAGCTTCCTGGCGGCACACATTTTTCATCGGGCTGATAAAAGAGCTGCTTCTATATCATTATGTATATGATAACTGAGTCCCACAATAATTGGAGGAATGAAAGTTAAGGCAGATTTATGAGTTCAGGACATACTTCTAAGTCTCATAAACATAAATTATACCCAAGAAAGGGGATGCTATGACAGGGGGGCCACAACAGATTTTCATAATTAATAAAGGGCAAGTGGTTCCTTTATGAAACGTTTACTTTGGAAACTTTTTAAACTGTGCATCCCTTTCTCTTTGTTTCATCCTAAATAAGATTCATGATCCTGCCCATGTGAATATCCACAGAGCCTCTGAAAAGTAGGCTTCCTTTCTCAACTAACCAAGAGATCACTTTAAGAGCCATAAATAAGTATCACAGCTGTCACCTTCAAGGAAACGAGCTCTCTCTTCAAAGAGCCTGGCACATGCTATGAGTTTGAAGACACTGCAGTGGAGAACTTGAGCTCCTTTAACGCTCACCTAAACAATGGAATTGTGCCCGCGTCTTTGGTGTGCCACTGCTACGTAAAACACTAATGATTTATTTACTTGTTCTACTCATTAATTTATAACCCGTCACTCTTGCTCTCTCTGAATCTTCCTCCTCCTAGACTAATGGATCAGAAGGATTTCCTGGCCGGCCAACACTGAAAATAATAAGCCTATCCCTAGCCCTTTCTGGTTCCAGTAACTCTAGCAACTTCATATGAATGCACAGTGAAAACCCAACAGCCACCAAGGCCTAGCACAGTGTCTTGCACAACCTAGGACTTCACTTGTTAAAATATCAACCTAGCCAGTTCAATATTTTCCCCGTAAGTTTGTAAGGCTTGAGTGGTGGTTTGTCTATTTTTAAATAAACAGAGAAAAGAGAGGGAAGGGAATACCATAATCTTATCACACAATATAACCACTATAAGGATTTTGACACATCTCTCTCCAATCTTTTTTCTATACATAGCTTTGTTTTTAAATAATTTTAATCATTACATATATATATATATAAAACAAAATCAAATCTGTTGCCGTTGAGTCGATTCTGACTCGCGACCCTGTAAGACAGAGTAGAACTGCCCCATGGGGCTTTCCAAGGAGTGGCTGGTGAATCTGAATTGCCCACCTTTTGGTTAGCAGATGAGCTCTTAACCACTGCCCCACCAGGGCGCCATATATATATATACACACACACACATATACACACACATACATACCTATGTATTTATAAACTTCTGCAAACATTGCAACATAATCATTTTTTTCAAAATTACTATCTGTCCTGAGGATAAAAGGAATGTGCTCAAAATAAAAAGACAAGTGTAAACAAAATAAATATCACTTAAATTTCATCACCCAGAAAAACCTGTACCAAATCCATTGATGTCAAGTTGAGAAGTGGTCCCTATTAACCTGTTGGTGGATTTTTTTCTATGAAACTATTTGTGTTTAATTTTGAAAAATTGGAATCAAACTATAGATAGCCTGTACACAGTCTGCTATATTCACTTAACGTTATATTGTAAACATTTTCCCAGGCCATTAAAAGTTCTTTGAGAATGAACTCTAATTGATAGATAGTATTTCATTATATGCATATATCATAGTGTTACTATTCCCCTTTATTGGAAATAAAGGTGTTTCCAAATTTGCAATGATGGCGAACATCTTTGTAAATCTGTCTTTGCCTTTTAAGAAAAATTCTGTGATAATCTAATTGCTTTGTGTGTGTGTGTTTTGTTTTTTTTTTTGTTAGGGATTGGATTGAAAAAAATTTTTTTTTCTTTTTTAAAAAACTAGCTGAAAAGATGTTAACATTGGGGGATGCTGGGTGAGGGATACATGGGGACCTCCCGCTGCCTTTCTTTGCAGCTTCTTGTGAATCAATAACCGCATCAAAATAAAAAGCTAAGAAACTAGCTGTATTTGTCTCTTTTTAAAGAATTATGTCCTTTTTTCTATTTATTTTCTGAGGTCTTAAATTACTTGCTGTTGTCTATTAATTGTTTACATATTAGTGATATTTTCACCTTTTTGGCATTATCTAAGTCTGTCATTTTCACTGAAAATTTTTTTCCTAGTCTATTTGCCTTCTTATTTTTTTTGATACATACCGTTTTTTTCTTAAAAATGTACTCAAATGTTGTAAAAAAAAAATCAAATTTTTTTTTTTTTGCAATTTTTTTTCTATTGCTTCCAAATTTTGGAAGTTCTCCCCTTCTAGCAGTTTGATAAATATTTAAATCACTATACTTCAGTTTGAATCGCTATTTTAGTGTGCAATGGAAACATTTAAACTTCTGTGCCTGCCTTATATATTGAATAACCCATTGTGCCCACTGGTTTTTGATGCCTCTTCTACCATATATTTATTTCCTCTCTACATATAATCGTGCTTATTCCCGAGCTAGTTATTCTGTCCCATTCTTACACCATCATCACCTTATTTTAACTACTGTAGCTTTACTGTGTGTTTTACTTTCTGGCTTCGTGTGACCCTCCTCATTATGTAGCAGTGTGATGCTGTTGAGAGAACATGTGCTTTGGACCCATTAGATGTAGATTTAAATCCCAGCTTGGTCTCCTACCAGCTCCATGCCCCAGGGGAAGTTATTTAACTTGGCTGGGTTTCAGCATCCTGTCTCTAAAATGCAACTACCATCACCTACCTCACTGAGGTGGGCTTAGGATTTTGTGAGATAACCCATTCACACACACCTGGAATACAGCAGACAGGTGGGCAATTAAGGCCAGTTCTCTTCTTCCAGATTTTTCTTTGATGTTCTTACTTATTTAGTCTCTTAAACTCCAAACAAAAGGCCAAGTGGCTTTTGGGGACAACATTCTACTAATGTTATTCTAAAGATAACATTCTTTAGAATTAGTAGAATGTTGTCCCCAAAAGCCACTTGGCCTTTTGTTTGGAATTTAAAATAATATAAAATACTCTAATAATTGATACCTTGAAAACATTTAATCTTCACATTCAGAAATATGAAATAGGAGAACTTGATAGGATGTGGGGGTAATTTTTGATAGGAGAGAGAGAATTTTAGAATTTAAGTGTCTGGGTCCAAAACCAAAGATGGGTAACTTATGCAGGTAAAAGAAGGTAACAGGAGGTGAGGAAAGAAAATGAGAGCCATCAAAAGAGAGTCCCCTGGGCTGACCCCACTGTCTGTGGCTGTTTTCTCCCAACAGTGTTCAAGGAGCCGGTGTGTTATCTGAAAAAATACACAAGGGAGAAGTTTCCAGGCTCTGGGGCAGGCATTTACACTTAATCTCTGACTTATTTCCTGAAAACAACAATGGGTTTTCCCTTACTGGGAAAGTCAGCCTGAGTCATTCAGTGAAAAGCAGGATAAAATATGGAAAACACAAAGTTACTAAAAGAGGAGACAGATAAATGAGACACCCACATCATTGATTACAGTCTCAAAAGGGCTGCTTTTGAAGGTGTGAGTTTGAGGGATGTTATCACTACCCTTTCATGGATAACTTACATCTTTTAAGCTTTCAAGTGCATTACTTTTGAGATCAGTTTAAAAATATGCATCTTAAAAGACTTACGATTTTGGTTTCCTTTCCAGATCACAAATAGCCATAGCATACACACTGAGTATAAATTCATAAAAATATAAATGCTCAAATTGCCACTGATCTACTTAACTATTTGTAGTCTACATAATATTATTTAAAAGGTAAGTATAGTCTGGAAAAAAATACATGCTTCGAGAATACCAAGGTGTCTGGCAGCAAGCAACTCTCAACTGTAGCTGGTCATGGTGACTAGGCTCTGCTTCATTCAGCAAATGTGCAGATTCAAGAAGCGGCTAGCTTGGTGAGCATATGTCTTTGCTCAGGCCTAAACCAAGACCATCATAAGTAATAAGTAATCTTTAGGTGCTTAGTCCTGCAGGTGGCTCAGTTTATGTCTGTTCTGGGTCAAGATGATTAAAAAGTGATCTCTTGGGAAAGTGAGGCTTTAGAAGAATTTCATTGTCAACCACTGTTAGGCACCTCAGGAACGATAAGAATCATGTCAGCCACCACAGAGAGGGTAGCTGTCTTGTCAGAAGAGGAGGGTCCAGTCAGCACGTTGCAGAGCCTGTACTGTAAATGGAGACAGATGCCCTGTCCTCTTCATCTGATTTCTGCCTCTAATCTCCTCATTGCCTAACACAACAGCTTCTGAAGAGTGAAGGATTGTGTGAGGGTTTTGTTTTCTTCAAGGGCAGGCAAAAGAAGAGGAAGGATTAAGATTAAACATTATCACCAGTTGCCATCGATTTGACCTTGACTCATGGAGACCTCATGTGTGTCAGAGTACAACTGTGCTCCCCAGAGTTTTCTTTCATTTTTTTTTAATAATTTATTTTTTTTTATTGTTGTTGTTGTTGAGAATATACACAACAGAACATAACCAATTCAACAGTTTCTACATGTACAATTCAGTGAATTGATTACATTCCTCAAGTTGTCCGACCATTCTTACCCTCCTTTTCTGAGTTGTTCCTCCTCCATTAACATAAACTCACCACCCCCTAAGTTTCTTATCTAATCTTTTGAGTTGCTGTTGTCAATTTGATCCCATAGAGATATATTTTAAAAGAGCACAATGCTCAAGGCAGGCATTCTTTACTAGTTAAGCTAAACTATTATTTGATCATAGAGTTTTCAATGGTTGATTTTTTTGGAAGTAGACCACCAGAACATTCTTTCCAAGGTACCTCTAGGTGGACTCAAACCTCCAACCTTTCGGTTAGCAGTTGAATGCATTAATCATTTGCACCACCCAGAAACTCGAAGAATAAACATTAGAAACCCCTTTTAAAAAATTATACACACACCTTGTATATTACCATCCTTATTTTTTTATTTTGAATGAAATCTCATCTGTCAATAAACAATTTAGCATATCTGAATCATAGAAACATAAGAGATAGCTAAACTTCTTTGCTCTTTTGTACTTATTTTTGGAGTAATCCACTTGTATTTTTCTGAAGTTTCTCGTTTTAAACACATTTGAAGACTATTTTGGGTAAACTTCCCATATCTTGAGAAAAGACCTTTTTAATGTACTATTAACTGACCAAGGCATTTCAATGTATTACATTATTTTTCCCTCAGAGTATAAAGCTGTGCTCTTCTCTCTCTGGTCATTAAAAGAAAACAAAAAAAAAGTCATAGGAAGGGGTGAGAGGAACAGCCACAAAGAAAGGGTAGGAGGAGTTCTTGGAGAAGGAGTTAGGGAAGGGTGCAAGGAATTGGGATACTGTGAAATTTAGGTATCTTCAGAAATAACAGGAGAAAACACTGTCTTTCTACAATTCCCACTCCAGAAATACCTAGTGAAAGGTGGTGATACTTAGGAGGAAAATGAGGTAAAGAAATATAAAAGAAGAAATGTTCTGGTGGAAGAAAAGCAGTATAAAAATGCGGGTAGCAGCATACTCCCCAGAAAGCCCCTGAACCCTGCTGCCCCCCATCCCTGCTGAAGCTGTTGCAAACACCAAAGAGGAGGCAGGTGGGGATGTGAACACCACTCAAGATGGTGAAGCAGGGAGGCTGCGCAACCAGACAGAGGGCGTCACGGGAGGGGGCGGCGCTTGGAGACATTACCAGACAAGGAACCTTACCCACCTCTGCCAGACTGTCACCCAACTTGGCAACAGCCGGGGGGTCGAGGACCAAAGACTCGGCATGGATTCTGCGTAAGCGCTCTTTAAGATCTGCGTTTTGTGCTAGGGCCTGGAACATGTTAAAAACAGTGGGGCCATGTTAATAAAGGGAGGTTTCAGAAAAGCACAGCAGTGGGCCTGGCAGGAGAGGTATCTAAGAGCCTTACGAACTTCCCTGAGATGTAGCCCCGAGGGCCCTCCCTGGGCTTTCACCTCGAATGCTGCTCAAAAGGATACTCATTCTGAGATGGCTGGGAGATAAGAAATATTAAACTCTGGAAATGATGCCTCTTCTCTAGTCTCATTTCCAGGGATGGAAGCAGGGGTTAGTAAGGGCAGGTGGAGGAGAAAATCAGATACCTCCAGCTCTTATTATGACGAGTATTTTCTCAGCATCTCCTCCTCTTTCCCAACTCTGTCTCTTTTGCCAACTCACTTCCTAATGATCCCAAGCTTCTCTCATCCTTGAGAAAGATGCTGTTCCCACCCCCTTCTGACTGGACATATTTCAATGTTATTTAATGATCATGCCAGTTGAACTGGACCTTAGAAAGTGTGCTGGTAAGCAGACATATCTACAGGATTAATTTTACTGTTTTACAATATAGGTGTTGATTGTTTTATTCATTCCCCAGGATTATGGTATATTTTATTAAAAAAAAAAAACTAAACTAAAATAAACCAAAAAACTTACTTACGTGGCTAGGGGTAAGGGCCGTGGCCCCAGGATGGTGGATGTGAGATGTGAGCATGCATGAGACCACCCAGGACATCTCTGATTCTTCCCTGCACAGGTCCCATTCCCCACCGTAAACTCCTAACCAGGAGGGAAATGGCTCAAAGGTAAAGGAAGATGTTTCCTTCACTTGGATATTCCTGTACACTTGATGACTCACTGTTCTCCAAATGATCTGTCTTAGGAAGGTGACAAATTCACATGACTGTCCCCCAGACACTCCCACAGCCAGCTTCACAGGTGCTTGCACACACATCCATCTGTCTGTCTATCTTCCTGACTCTCTTTCAAGAAGCTCAGAGTCCTGCCCATCCACTAGGGCCCACAGGGTCTACCTGCTGAGAGCACAGAGGGATACGATACTGCCTAACCCACTGTCTGGATCACAAACAAGGTTTCCTGACTTTATTTTTTAGCACCCAGGGATGGTATGGGTCATTTGAAATTCCTCGAGGATCTTTTAAGAAACATTTAAAAGAACAAACATCACACAACCACAAGTAAAACTCTCTGTGGGGCACTTGCTTTCTTCTTGCCTCAAAAATGTGATATTTTAGAAGCTTCCCTTTTTTAGTAATCCACAGGCAGAAGTAATAAAGCAATGAACCAAAGACTGCAGACATGGTGCAAAAACACCCATTCTGATAGCCCTGAGAAGACTTTAAAAAATTTATTTTTAAAAAAACAAGTCTTGAATGTAATCAGGAATCTAAGCAAAAAGAAAGGATCATTCTGTTTTATCTTTAATTTCCAAAATCCTGAACATGGGTGAGGAATGAATGTCTCACCCATTAGCGGTGGTAAGAACAGCTTTGGTCAGATGATATCATGGCCAAAGTGGGTCTCAAGGGCCTGTATCATATGAGCAGATTAGCAAGATGAGGCCAGACCTCTGCAGGAGGAGGTCAGAGGAGAGGAAGACCACAGAGAAAGGGATGATGATTGGGGGCCGTCAGAAGTACCTTCTAAATGCACTAAAAGCCAACATAATAGGAACAATAAGAAACACTATGTACCACTGGGATGTAAACTTTAAAAAAAGAACCACCTTACTTCCCTCAAAGCAAAGTAGCACTCAGTGACTCAGTGTGTGGTAGGCTGTCCGCTATGATCCAAGAAGGGGCTGTTTTTATCTCTGAACTTGAAGAACCTAGACGTCCCAAGGGCAGACAACATTAAGACTCTACACATGGAGTAAGCCAACGTTATTATTTTTGTTTTTCAGAGACAGCATACTTGGATGTCAACTGAGTGAATATTCCTTAAGTATATAACAATAACAGGTGCTATTCGTAAAGAGTTTACCATTCATATTACACCAAGAGCATCACTTTTCTTGGTAACATGATGAATAGAAAATATGAACAGATAGTATTTTCTGGTTCTCTCAATGCTGAGTTGGCTCCTGACAACAAGATCCTAAAATCCATCACCCTTACCTGACCCTAAATAGAAAACTCAGTATGCTTCAGATGGTAATTTCACCGGTGCACACACACTCTCTCTCTCTTTAAAGTAGAAATTCCAAAGTACAAACAAAGAGTAAGAGCAAACAAGTGTGCAATTTCAAAAGTTCTCCACTTTCGTGATAGATTCAAAGTCAGGTCCTAGGACAGGGCACACCAGTGGAGCCCAACGAGTCTGAGGAGTGAACTGAAGTTGATTAAAAGGAGAGAGGGAGTGAGTGAGTGAACAGCTTGCTAAAGAGCATTTGAAGCTTGATAGCAATCTTTCTGTTGTTATGAAGTTTCAAAGATTACCTAACAGACACGTCGTACGACTCACTTCTTTCTGACCATGGGCTGGGGGTGGGGGGACTAAATGTTTTGTACAGTATAAAAAAATAAAATAACTTTCATGTCTTTGAAAAGGAGGCAAATAGGATCAGTGTTTTGCAGTAGGGAAGATAAGAGTGTGAATTTGAAATTTTGCTCTGCCATGTGTCATTTGGAAAGTCATCGAAGCCTGGGGAGCCTCAGGTCCACAAATCTCCTTTAAACTGTCACATTTTGTAAGCAATAACAAAGGAATATCTGTAAAACACACACAGACATATAATAAAAGTTTTATGGAAATAGAAAAATCAACTTAATGAATAGGAGGAAACCAAACTCAAAGTATCTAACACAATAAAATACTAGATTTGGGTTAGGCTGCATTTTGGTGTTTGGAATAAGCAGGTCTTTGAAAGGTTAGAATATAATTTGGATAATTTGTTTGGTTGTCTCAATCATGAATTTTCAACACAACCATAGAGATGGAACATATGAAGAATTCATGAGCCTGGGTACGTTTGCAGGCATTTCTGTGACACAGACATATAACTTACGGATGACAGGGTGTGCTTCAGACCAATGACCTGGGCAGAGGGGGAGGAGGTGACGTCCTGTTCCATCAGATGCTTCACTTTCTCTCTCTCCATTGACAGAGTATTAAAAGCTGACCTTAAAGTGAAGTAAACTATAGAGATATAATCATTATAAAAAGGAATAAAGGAAGAGGCATAATTTAAAAACACAATACAAAAAAAGTATTTCTTCTAAAAGAAGTTAGAAAAGTAACAGCCCTGAATATTTGTGAGTGGCAGCAAATGTATACTCTGACCTGACTTTTTATTTCTTTTTTATTGTTGAAAATATATACGTAACACAATAGCTGCCAATTCAATGTTTTTCACATGTACATTAGTGGTATCAATTACACTGATCATGTTGGGCAACCAGCACCAATAATCGTTGACAAGTTTTCCATCACCATAAACAGAAACTCAATGCTTCTTAAAAAATGACTCCCTCTTTCCCTCTCCCTCCTGTTCCTGATAACAAATAATACACTTTGGTCTCCATACATTTGCCTATTCTAGATACATAAGTGAGATCATACAATACTCATCCTTTTGTGACTGACTCACTACACTCAGCATGATGTTTTCAAGGTTCATCCATGTGGTAGCTTGTATCAGGACTTCATTTCTCTTTATGGCTGAGTAATATTCCATTGTAGGTATGTCTAAACTGACTTTTTAAAAAACCATTTGTCAATTTTAAGGCCTCTTTCCACTATAAAATTCCATTACTTGATGACTTATCATCAAGATATTTTGCCACTTGAAAGGACTATACTTCTGAATCATTAATTATTAGCATGTCGTTTCGTTTGCATCTCAAAGACTGGAAATGTTTCAAAATAAAGCTTACTGGTTGCCAGAGAAAAATGGTAACAATGCACCTTGACCAGGTGATCAAAATTAATCACCAATCAGAGGCAGATGGGCTTTGTGTGCCTCTGGATGCGATACCCTGCGAAAGCCACAACACCTCCTTTGTTGTATGCTGGCTGGGGATATATAACCTGAATCTGATCATGAAGATCAGACAACGTGAAAATGAGGAACACTCCACTTTTAAAAATTGGCCTGTATTCTTCAAATATGTCAATTTTATAAGAGAAAGAAAGCCAGATAAACTTCCCAATTACAGGAGACTAAAGAGGCGTGGTAATTAAATGCAATATATGATCATGGACTACACTGATCCGCCCATACTAAAGGGGGAAAACGTTTGTAAAGGTCATTATTAAGTCAATTGACAAAATTTGAATATGGAAGGTAGAATGGATAAAAATGTTGCTTCAAAGCTAAATTTCCTTAATTTGATAACTGTACTGTGGTTATGTAAGAGAATATTCCTATTCTTAGGAAATATACACTAAAGTATAAAGGTATAGAGAAAAACATGATGTATGAATCCTACTCTCAAATGCTTCAGAAAATTAAATGTGTGTGTGTGTGTGTATGTGTGTAGAAAGACAAAATAAAACTGGCAAAATACTAAAAATGGTGAATCTGGGTAAAGTGTATATGGGAGTTCTCTGTATTATAATTGCAACTTTTCTGAAAGTTTGAAAGTATTTCAAAATAAGGTATTACCTACCCTCTTGCTTGTTAGTCCTTCCAGCAGCTTGACTCAGAATTCCCCACCTCTAAACTTGGCGCTGAATTCTGTTCACTTTAGTGAGCGTTCAGGCACAATGAGAGCTTAGCACTATGAAGCATTGAAATGCTTGAACTGAAGTTTTAAAAATCATTAATACTCATCAAAAAGCTCATCAGGTTTTGACCACCTAATGTACAAGTTACCTCCTAGGGATGAGGAGACTGTCCTCTAACTCATCACTCATGGACATTACATTTGAATATTGTCTTTCCAATCTCCCGTATTATATTTTGTTTTAGAAGGGCAGACAAAAGGAAGAGACTGAAGTGTACTCTTCTCAAATGGCCTGGCAGATTATTGAGTTCCACAGGGTTGTATTTTTAGAGGCACTCTCATCCAAGCATGGCCTATTTAGTAACACAGAAACTAAATACATGTTATTGACTTACTTCCCTCGTTTCACAGCCATGAGGACAACTGAACCTCTCTACACGTTATCACTGAATTTGTCTGAGGTTGTGGCATTTACAGATGAACTTAAATCATCTTTACAAAGTCAGAGTACAAATAAGCGATTTGTTTAAAAACAAACACACTCCCCTAAAAAAAAGAAGGGAAAAAAAAAATCAAAAAACCATTGTCATCGAGTCCACTCCGACTCATAGCAACCTTATAGGACAGAGTAGAACTGCCCCCGTAGGGTTTCCCAGGCTGTAAATCTTTATGGAAGCTGATTGCCACATCTTTCTCCCACCAAACACACACACACACACACACACACACACACATCATGGAGCTTCTTCTGTTGACAGAAAACAGGAGTCCACAGGTACTCACATTTTCTAACAATGTCTATGAAACACCCTTAGTTCTTTGATTTAAACAATTCAGTTGAGTAAAACAGTGGATAGTACAACACAGAGACCAATAGTGTGGGCTCCAACATCAGCCCTGGATTTCCCAGTTCTGTATGGCCTTTAACAAGGTTATAATGTGCCTGAGCCCCAGTTTTTTTCATTTGTAAATAAAAGTGAAATATTCACTTCATAAGACTGTTATGAAGATTAAATAAGATAATGCACTAAACCACTTAGCACAGTGCATGGCGTGTGATAAATAACAAATATGAGTTAACTGCAATAATAATAGTGATGACGATGAAAGAGACACATGAGGATGAAAGCGGTGGTGACTGCCCACACCACCCACTGCCATTGAGTTGATTCTGACTCATAGTGACCCTGTATGACAGAGGAGAACTGTGCCATAGGGTTTCCAAGGCTTTCCACCTTATTGAAGCAGACTGCCACATCTTTCTCCCATGGAATGGTTGGTGGGTTCAAACTGCTGACCTTTTGGGTAGCAGCTGAGCACTGTAAGCACTGTGCCACCAAGACTCCTGGTGGTGACCGCAGTCTCTTGAAATATAGCAGCAGTTCTATGAGGACATTTATCTCTTGCCAGGTCAATACTTGTAAGTAACTGCAGGCTGAGCAGATGCTCTAGGAATGAGAGGCTGAGCAGATGCTCTATGAATGAGGGACTGAGCAGAATCTATTGAGCAGAATCTAAGAGCAGTGTCAGCAGGAGAGCAAGAAGCCGGGCGGTTAACTAACTCACTGTACTTTAGGTCCTATTAGATAGGCACCCTCCTGTTTTGTGCAACTCCACAGGACACCCACGCCCATCTGAGTGCATCCCCCAGGGAACCACCTCTTCACTGTCATGTTTACTGCTCTAAATTAAATAAATGGGACACTCAGCGGGCTGCCAAAATCAATTTTGCCCAATCAATTCCTTTGACTTTCAGAGAGGCTGCAGTAAAGCAATGCTTTCTACCACACCAGAAGAGTCCTATTAAATTTTTATGTAAAATACATACACATAGGTGATAAAATGACAATGAAAAGCATGGAAGTCATTACCATGAAAAGTCAGGATATTAGTTATGTTGAGGAGGGAGGAAGGACGGTGTGAAAGGAAAGAGAGCCCTGGGGGCGTCTCGGGTGCTGGCAAGGTTCTAATTTTTGGCCTGCCTGGAGGGCAATTATTCATTTTACGATACACTTTTTTGCACATTTCAGTAGGTGTGTTATATTACATAATTTAAAAGCTAAAATTTAAAAAGAAGCAAGATTACTAAAAGGAAAAAAAAATGTGTAAGATGCCATGCTGAAATTCAGCTTTGCCATATCTAATGCACTTCCTCATTTATCAGTCTAATATGCCTGTAACTCAACACCTCAATTTCCCTGCCTCAGAGAGAAGAAATTACCTTAGTCTAATAATCTGACCAAGGAGCCCTGATGGCGAAACAGTTAAGCACTCAGCTGCTACCTGAAAGGTTGATGGTTCAAACTCAACCAGCTGTTCCTCAAGAGAAAGATCTGGCAATCTGCTCCAGTAAAGATTGCAGCCCAGAAAATTCTATGAGGCAGTTGTATCACATGGAGTCGCTATGAGTCGAAAATCAACTTGACAGCACCTAACAACAACAATAATCTGACAGACACTTAATGGATCATGTTGACTCTTGGTGGTTTTACTTTTTCCTTTTCCACAGGCGTCCATGCTGTTCTTTTCCTGAGTTATGATAGTGAGGGCACAGACAGCATGTGTGGATAGAGAGAGTTCAGGTACTGAAGGATACCGGTACTCTAATTTTCCCTGAGCTCTATTTAATATGCTCCTTTTTTAGCACTTTTTCAGCATTAGTAAAGAATAAGGGGTTGAACACATTTATTAATGCATAGCTACCACCCCTGTGGAGCCAGTGTGGTGCAGGAGAAAGAGATTTTGTAATAAGGTAAATCCTCCCTCTACCATGCAGTTGCTGCAATGGATTGAACTGTGGCCCCAGATGTATGTGTTGAATTCCTGGCCCTTGCACCTGTGGATGTAATCCTGTTGGGAAATAGGGGTTTTCTTTCATTTTGTTATGTGGGTGGGTCCCTAGGTGGCACAAATGGCCAGAAGGCTAGTGGTTTGAACCCATGCAGGGGTGCCTTGGAAGAATAGCCTGGAAATCTGCTTCTGAAAGGTCACAGCCTTAAACTTATGGAGTGCAGTTCTACTCTGCACACATGGGGTCACCATGAGTCAGAACTGACTCTGTGGTAACTGGTTTGGTTTTTTGTTTTGTTAAGTTAATGCGGTCATATCAGTGTAGACCTTCTAAGTTATAAAAAGGCCAGAACAGACACAGAGACACGCATGGGGGAAGACAGATAACGTGTCAGGATCGTTTACACACAAAGGAACCAGAAACTAGGAGAGAGGACCATGGTAGTAATCAACATCCAGAACTGTGAGAAAATAAATTTCTGTTCTTTAAAGGCATCCACTTGTAGTATTTCTGTTACAGCAGCATCAGGTAACTAAGACAGCTGCCATTTAGAATTTAGATAAAACCTCAGTTTCCACATCTGTATATGTAGATAATACCCACACCTCAGAAGTGCTATAAAGAAACAATCAGAAAACATATGCTCAAATCACACCTAACACACAGTAGGATTTGTTAAT